GCTCCCATGAGAGTGTGGTACATAATCCTGCCGAGGCGAATGACCCGATCCCATTAGAATAAGAAACTTTAATGGGTCCTTGACCCCAAGCACGAATAAACGTGTGAGTTATAAATTTTAAGGAAGACCTTTCGATGAAAACACATAGCGCGAGAGAAATTCATAGAGGAGCACAATTATTCTGTGGCTAATCATGAAGCCCGTAAAATCTCTACAAACGCAAGTCTATCATTCTACGCAAGTCTGGTCTCAAGTCGTAATGCGAAATAAAGAAATTAAACGAGCAAAGATAACCCTATAGTACAATTATAGCATGTTGTGAACCTAAGTTTACCCGGACAATAATATGAATTTAGCTACGTACGGACTTTCATCACCTCGTGCGTCCGTAGCCCCTGCAACAAGTAGCACATATCAAATACATCACCTAGGGAAAGTTTTCCCCTCACATAGTTAGACATGAGACTTACCTCGCTCCAAAGTTCCATAGTCGGCTCCAACGCCACTCCAACACCTCAAATCGATGCCCGTCTCTCCAAAACTAGTCAAACAATGTGCAAATCCATAAATATATACTCTATTATCCATAATTAATCAGTTTATAATAATTTTCAACTCCCCCCGAAAAGTCGATAAAGTCAACCCTCGGGCCCACGTGCCCGGATTCTGAATTTTTTTGAAGATAATCATTACCCATAACACCACAAACTCAAATACATAATTTATTCCTAATTCCATATCCAATTTCGTGGTCAAAATCCAAAAATACTAAATTTTAGGTTTTCTACCAAAATCTCACAATTTCTACTAATTTTCACGTTTAAATCCTTATAGAATCCATGCATTTAACTTATAATATGTGGTAATAACTTACCTTGCCATAGATGATGAAATCTCCCCTTGAAGTTCTCCAAAAAATCGGCCAAACCAAGAGAGTAATGTGTAAAATGAGAAAAACCCCGATTTTTAAACAATCTGCCTAGTTGATTTTCCGCACATGCGGAACTCCTTGCGTGTCTGCGCCTCTGCTTCTGCGGAAGCTACCTCGCAGATGCGGCTTCCCCCAAGGTGCCAGATTTTTCCGCTTCCGCGGGCATTCAATCGCAGGTGCGCATCCGCTTATGCGAAAATCTTCTGCATCTAGGGACTCCCCAACTCGAGCACCACTCCGCACCTACGCGCCCATGACTGCACCTGCGGTTCCACAGGTGCGCTATAGCACCCGCACCTGCGATCATCCAGACCCATACCACTTCCGCTTCTGCGCTTCTCCGCCCCCATCTGCGAACCCGCATGTGCGGTAAATTTCTCACACCTACGAATCCAACCAGCCTCACTCCCTACCGTTTCTGAGACCCCTGGACCGCTTCTGCGGTCTCGCACCTACGGCCATAACCTCGCAGGTACGATCGCACCAGAAGCCTTAAGCTTCAGCAGTTCCTCCAAGTCCAAACTCGATCCGTTTCCAATCCAATTCGCACCTAGCCCCCCCGGACCCTGTCCAAACATACCAACACATCCCAAAATACGATACGGACTTAGTCGAAGCCTCGAATTACGTCAAACAACATCAAAATTACAAATCGACGGCCAAAAACTTTCTTTCAACTTTCCAACCTTCAAACTTCGCCGAACGCGTCCGAATAACACTTAAACATCCCGGAATGATGCCAAACTTTACGTACAAGTCACAAAATAACGATACGAACCTATTCTAAGGCTCAAAACTCCAAATGGATTTCGATAACATAAATATCCACTTCAAACCAAACTTTGAAATTCTAGAACATCCAAAATGCCAACTTCTCATAATAGGCGCTGAAATGCTCCTGGACCACCCGATACTCTACCCGAATACACGTCCAAGTCCGAAATTATCATACGAACCTATTGGAACTTTCAAATCCCAATTCCGAAATCGTTTACTCAAAAGTCAAACCTTAGTCAATTCTTCCAACTTAAAGCTTGCGAATTTAGAATTTTCCTTCCGAATCAACTCCGAACTTCCCGAAATTCAATTCCGGCCACGTGTACAAGTCATAAAACATGAAGTGAAACTACTCAAGGCATCAAACCGCCAAACGATGTGCTAGAGCTCAAAACGACTGGTCGGGTCGTTACATTAAATTCTTCCTTATTTGAACTATGTAAAAAGTCCTACATATTTAGGAATTTAAAACGATTTACTTAAATAATTTTTTTCCTTATTTACTTCATAATTAATTTGTCTATAGTTATTTTCAATTTGTTTTAAATTAGTTTAGGTTTGGTTTATACAAAGGTTTTAGATTCCCATTTAAATTCTATCATTAAATCTAACGAATTTACGTATAAAAATATAAATGCACAACCTAATATCAAATTCTAAAAAAACTTTCAAAAAGACAATCCACAATTGCATTTCAAATATACATTATTTAGTAATGTTTATATAAAACTAAAAAATTAATAATTATCGATATATGTACACGGCACGTAACCTAATTCTTTTTCGTATTTATACTTTTCTATCTATCTATCTATCTATCTATACTATATTAAAAGCACGAATATTCTTAGCGAAATATCGTTCGCCTTTTTTATCATCTAAAAATAGACTTCAATAACTCTACATTTAACTATTTTGTCAATGTAATAATATATTTTTTAATTTAAAGACGTCAATTGCTAAATGCACATAATTCATTCTTATTCTAAATTTTATACACTTTTTATTAATAGACGCAAAAAATACAATCTCGCGCGTAGGTAATTTAGCACTGTACATTTTATGCTTTATAGGTGAAATATCGCTGATAGTGCAAAAAAAAATTACTTTATCACAATATATAAGTTAAATTCATTTCTTCACTACTTTTTGCTCTTTTGAATCGGTTCTTGAACATTGATTTCAGCAGGTTAAATAAGGTTAAAAAAGAGTGGGACAACTGTTTATATGTGGTATTTGATCTCATACCAGCGGGACAATAAATAAGAAAATTATACATTCCTTGGTACAGTTCATGACCATTTTCACAGAAAGGAATAGCCACTTTACTCTCACTTTCGTCTTTCATCCGAGAACGTAGGGTTTCCTGTTCATGATCTCTCTCCAATATTTGACCTTATACTTGTAGGTAAGTAATCAGATGTTGACTGTTTCTTAAAGTTTATACGTGTACGCTTATTCTAGCTTCTCAGGTTCAGAATTTTGGGATATTATGAAATAAAAGTTAAGTTGGCTCTGTAGAATTAAAATGGGCCGCCATTCACTTGATCGTTAACCCTTAATTGGACTTCTGATGCTTGTGCCTTGGGATAATCTTCCTATTATATATTGCTGTACACTCTCAAATTCTTCACGTTTTAAGATATGACTATTTATGTATGGCGTGTGCATTTGATTGAAAGCTCTTTGATTTCTCCATTTTTTAGATTAATTAAAAAAGAGAATCTTGATTACTGTATGTGTTTGTGTACATGCAATTGATGGTTGTGGGTGTCAGGACCCAATTCGATCCGGCTGTTCTTGAGGTTTTTGTCCCCAAAAAATAGCTAGTACAAATCAAAAGAGGCACCAGCCCAATTTGATGGTTGAGAGAGTGTGTACAAATCAAAATGCACTGAATCAGATCATGATTTTTGCCAAAAAAATCTTATTAACTTGCTATTTTCCCAATGGCATAGAACTCATCTTGGAAGCTCATAAAATACAGATAAACGCACCTCCACTCCCTCTTTATTTGGTACTAATTCATCTTAGAGAGAAATTAAAGAGAAGACTTCGGTATTTTTTTGGGTTAAATTTCAGGTATATTTGTTAAGCCTCATGTATTGGGATAGCAATAGGGCAGGACAATACTTAAACAGGGCAGGGCAGGATAAGGCAGGTCAAAACACTTTTTAAGAAAATTTTGAACAAGGAAGGACATGATAGGTAATGAGTTCTAGCTTCATTAAAAGGTCAAAAGTTATAAAAACTTGAAAAATTCTTATAAAATGAAAAAAGTTAAAAAATGAAGGAGAGTCTAAACAGGGCAAGGTAGGATCTAATAGGGCGGGGCAAGGCAGGGCAGCAACTTGAAAAATGTTAAATAGGGAAGGATAGGGCATATCAAAAGCTTAGCAGGTCACACAACTTGCCCCTGCCCTACCCAATTGCCATCCCTACTCATCTATATTCTTTCGATTCTTCTTTACCATTGCGCAACTAGGTTGGAGGGTTGAGGGTTCGTGACCAGAGGAGGGAGGCGAGGGAAAGAAGAAGCTGGGTTTGTGGGG